TATGGAATCAGGTGTGAGAATGCAATGAGAAACAAGCCAAATAGAGAGTGTATGTGTCAGAGTAGGTAGAGTGGGAGTGCAGATTAGTGGGCCTATCTTGTATTGCATATTAGATGTAAGGACAGAGAAAATACTATATTTACTGGTGGAAAGAAGGTTGGTTAGTCACTTCGTGCCTGACACTGTTTTCGTCACATAAAATAGGTGGGAAACATATTATCATAGAAATTTTATACTAAGACGTGCGCGCATAATTTCTTTTGATGCAGTGATTAGCTACAGCGATCTCACCAGTGGCAGCCTAAATCCTAATGCATTGGGAACCAATTACATTCTGTATGATCATGACAGCAGGATTCAACTCGAAAGGAAGGAAGGAAGGGAGGTTACAACTATCCAGTGCTAGATATAACGCATAATCAGTGGAGAAGAAGGAAAAGTTGTACAGAGAGCTACAAACAGTAATGGACAACATCACAAACGGTGACATGAAAATGCTTATGAGTGATATGAATGGCAGGTGAACTGGGAGCAAGTAGTACAGGAAGAGAACTAATCGAGAGACTATGGCTCGGCAAGATGAATGACAACGAGGGATTATTCGCATACATCGGAACATTCAATTATTTGGCGTTCAGAGGTAGCGTGTGCTGGCAAAAGGACATACATGAGGCCAGTGACATGTATTTCGCCAGACGGAGAAAGGACAAAGCAGATACACTTGATATCACAGCTGCTCAAGGAAGTGGAGACGCAGACAGTCTGCTGGGCACAAAGTCGAGAAGGGTGGTAGATGTGGGCTCAGTCCACCATGTGTCTCGCGGAACCTTCAATGTGAATCTGAAATCCTTCAAAACATCTGAAGGAAGGCCACTGTGATTCAAGTTCACCATTCAGAAACTGACGGACAAAAATACATGAGATACATTCACTACAGATGAGATCAGAGCAAAGTTGAATGGAGACGCTGCCTGGTATCAGTAAGGAGACTTGCGTGGAAGAACATTGGAACTCACTCTCTGAAGGTGATTTTCAAGGAGACGTGTACAACTGTTCTAGTAAGAAGGAAGAGACACGACAAAGAGTGTCTTAAAACAAACATATACCTGGAAGCAGATCGAAGATGGGAGAGGAGGATGTTGAAACAGAATATGACTACTCAATGCAAAGACGGACAAAAAAAAGAGAAGCTGACTTCAATGTACACTGCACTGAATAGAGAGTGAAGTAAAGACTAGTTCTAGGAAAGACAAAACACAGTTCTACAACACACTGGTTGGCAACTGAAGCCGAACAGGCAGGTGTGTCGCAGGTAAAACAGATCTCAGCACAGTGTATTGGATAGGCATCAGGTCGATTGCTGTCCACGAGGAGATGCTCAGGTGAACTGGATTGTAACCGGAGAGAGAAATGGAACATTTGGCTGATCACTTTAGAGGATTCGTGAGTTGATCATCCCTTGCAACTCACCCAGAAATACACTACCATCAACAGCAAGCACGCAACTATCTTCCAGTGGAAATCCTGAATGAGACCACGAAGGTAGCCGGATCTGAGATGATTCCCCGTGATTCACTGATTAAGCGGTAGCTGTTTTCACGCCATTATTTCAAAGGTTTTGGATGGAAGGAAATGTTACTATGTCAAGCTGCCAAAAGAAGGCAACTACGTCATCTCAATAGCGTGGAATACTGCCTTTGTCAGCGCCAAGTAGAACACTAAGTGCTATCATCCTGGAGAGGATAAAAGAAGTGATGGATGTATAAATCCACCAGCCGGAACGAACTGGATTCACGAAGGCCAAATCGTATGCTGATCAAATTGCAAATCTACGCATCGTCATCACAGAACTCTGACAACAGCAACAACAACCAGCACCGATCACCAATGACGGGAGAGATTTGACAGAAGTTACTTCCTCCAACTTTCTAGACAGCCAGCATCATTTCCACCATGGCCAGTCGGAACGGACGAAGATGTCAACACCAGCCAGAATCGAAAAGGCAAGATACGCCTTCATCACGCAAAAGCAGTGTGGAATTCTTGTACAGAGTCTTGGGCAGCATAATGCATAATATTCGGATTTTCAACTTCAATGTCAAGTCGGTCGGTCGGTCCTTGTATACGGGTCCGAAACTGGACCGGCGTGTCATGAAAAGGATTTCCAACAGTCTGTTGCAAACCTTTGTGAACAGCTGCATTCACTATCTCCATACTGAAGATCATATGACTGTTTGACCGGAAAGAATCAACAACAAGATTCTTTGTAGTGTGACAAAGCAACAGGTGAGATCAGATTGCTTAGCAAATATTTAGGAGAAAATGCAGATGGATCGGTTGGGCATACGCTGACGAAAGCGTCGAATGACATCACAAGCAACGCAGGCCATTGCTCGAGTGCGATCCAAATGTGAAGCGGCGAGTGAGTCGTCTGTGTGAGGGTCACAGGGGGGAGATAGTGAGTTGGACAGGAGTCAATGAGAGATTACGGTCAATCGTGGACCCAGCTTAAAGAGGATGTCAGAAATTAGAAGAAAGTGGAGCTGCGTTGTTGAAGCCATATGTTCCACTCGGAATTCAAGGGATCATTAATAATAAGGATAAGAGTGTAAAACTAGTTCTGAACAACACAATTCGATTTCATCGTGTTTCCCACAGTCCTATTTATTTTGCTACATGGATTCCAAAGAGTAATTATCTCCTCTTCATACGATCACCTCGATGCCACTCTCGGACCGAATTCAAACTGGTCATTTTTCAACCGACTTCACTGGCGAGTCGACAAAGTATACCATTTCCAAATATTTCGCTACTCAAGTTAACTCGTCGTTCTTGTGCCAATATTTGCATAGTGGCTACTAGCAAGTAACCAGTCTCCCCTTAACAAAACAAACCATACTCAAACTTCGAATGGACCAGTTAGTCACTTGCCCCACTTCACTGCTGAAAATATACTCTTAATCAAGTCAACTGGAACCTGCATCAGGAAGCAGAGGAACGACTTACCTTCAATTATTTCGATTGTGTACAACCAAGTGCGTCTAAAAACTGTAAATCCACTAAAATCGTTCTCATGAACATGTCTTCTCAAGTTCGTCATAGAGTTCGAGTTGGAAACTAACTATACACTCCATTGCAAACCCAAAATATTTAGGTCATAATATGTGCCATGCTTCAAACCATGTTGAGAAACAGTTACTTGACTGATGACTCGAAGTCAGACTTGCTCGGATTTCACTCTTCCAGATCGACTATGTGATAATCGGGAATAGAGAGAAAGTAGCTGTGAATGAAAATCTGCATTGATCTGTATTGAAACACTTCTGGTGAAACGCTCATCAAGTCTATTAAATATGTAGAAACACAGAGCCTATTGAAATGAGTATTGAAAATGAGTGCGTACTGCTGTTTACTGAAATTCTTCACATTAATTTTAGTGTAATGCACACCTATCCGAATCTCTCGATCCTGTCAATAATATCCCCACCATTGCTCCGCATATCCTAGTGTTATTCTAACACAGTTAGCAATTATCAGGAGGCCAGGCGACATTCTAAACGAGTCACGATATTAGAATTTTCAGCTCACTTTATATTCTTTTTACGGTTGACATTTTTTCACCCAACTTTGCACTCGTTACTGTGTATACGGTCTCACCATGTCGACATGAATCATTAAAATCACTGAAAGCCATTGTATCAAGAAAAGATGCGGTGGGTTTGTTTAACATTTATTAATAACGATTCTATGGAAGTAAAACTAATAATGTTTACACTGAAATAACAAAGTTAAAATGTTTAAGAAAACAGATATGTGCCTTATCGAAAGTTAATCAAGTAACAAAAGAAAATATTACAAAATAAAATACATAAGTCATCAACCATTATTATTATGGGACAAAACTGGAAACACTACATATTATAGAGACAATAGCCACCGTCGAACAAAGTAGATTATTGCCCCGACAACAGCAAGTCCTCCGAGACAGCCAAACAAAATTGCCCCAAACAACGCTGTAATGAATATGATAACAACACAATGTAGTGTGATTAACGAAAACTAAGCATGTAGGATATTTGATATACAAATAGAAATCTGATGAAACAAACGTATTCTTACGGTAGTCTCGATGATAAGTTGAAGAGATGACTTTAATACCTGTGTTTTTTGCACAACTATTAAAATATTAGCTGTCAGGATGTCACAGATATCTATCTCCTGACTCTATCCTCAAAACTCAAAAATAACCAATTCGCAGAAACTTTATGTTAGCTAGTTGCATTTTCATTCTTCACGCACATTTGCTGTGTCTAACTGGCGAATTCACCTCTTTCATCCTGAGATGCCTGTTTACCAATATTCGCTGTCAAACATTTCTCATGCACCCATGAACATGATACGTGGTATCTTTCGTTTGTTTAGAAATGACGAAACAACATCAGAGTCTGTATGTCAGAATAATAAAGATCATGTTGACATTAGGACGTAAGCAAATCACACTGCGTCACTCTCTGTAATAAGCATGTGTCTGTGTGTGTGTGTGTTTGACTTTGTAATCATCTTCACTGTTTAGAATAATTCATAAGGGAGTCGTCATCTCGGAAAAGAAATTTAGGAAAAAGCTGAAGTGCTCATGAGTGGAACCTGAATGATAGGTGATGAGGTGTCTGTGCTGTCAGTATGAGATGGAAGAGAAAATCAAAGTGATGATCCTGCAGTCGATTGAGAGTGACTTCAGAGAATCGAGTGAAGTGGAGGTGTGCTCCTGAATCTCTACGCTTCAGTCGAAAACCAGTCAATGAACAATAGTAATTATGATCATTTTAATGATAATCATAATTTCATGCTGAAATGAATGGAAAATGTGATGTGAATTTATCTACCTAACTGAATTGTAGTCGAGATGAGTTGAATTCAGCCTTCGTAATATAAGATAACGACAAAGTAATTAAGTGAATACCACTGTGCATTAATAACATTCAATCAAAACACTGACTCACCACTGTTATCTTTCGAGTCATCTGGTTTCTGCGTTGGAGTAGAAGTATCCATCATGGAAGATGTCATGGTATTTTCCGTTTCACCTTCAGAAGCGGTTCCACTCATAGTTGTAGTCTCTGGAGTGCTATCAAACATAGTTGTGGTCTCTGGAGTTGTCTCAACCATAGTTGAAGTCTCAGGAATGGTCTCGTCCTGAGCGTCAATCTCAAGATCGTCTTCACCCGCATTCGGCACCGGTATGCCTCCTTCACCCTGTGATTTGACTAGTATCAACTGCAGTATACAAATAAGCACTGCAGAGAACTTCATTGTATTTTGTTTGAGGTTTGATATTGTCTGAAATGTCGCATGAAAATAAACCGTTCAGTTAATCAAAAATTGTGCAATGACTGTGTGATCCATATCACAGAGTATTCTTAGCAAACATGCGATAAATAATGAGAAAACGGTGTATTGCCTCAAACATGAAATAACAAGTCCTATTAATATGAGTTGATATTACTGCCGGTATTGCACTCATCGATCACCGTGTTGCTTGTTCGGAGTATCCATTTTGTCATCACAATTATAGCGGAGACAGAGGTGTCTATTCAACACCAAATCTTCATCCCTTGCATAAACTAGTGTGAGCATGAAAATTGTTGGTCGGTGGCATCATAGTTAGGGTTTTCACCAACCACGGATTTGCGTTGAGTTTGATTCCTGTCTGAATGTTGTCTTAAGCCTCACACACTACCAGTAGTTAGCTAAGCTTCGTTAAGAAAACACGACTACACTGAAACGTGGAACACATTGAAGCACTTTACGTTTAACAAATTATCATTAAAATTATTATGCTGAACTTACTTCAGAATACTGCCACGTGGAGATGAAGTAGAGAATTCAAGACCTGAGGTAATTTATAGCGGAATGTCTTGTCCGTGATGAATATACAATGCTCACATACAGGTTTATATAGTTGTTTATTTATAATAATAATGATAATTATTATTATTACTACTATTATTATTACTTGACAATGTAGTTACTGTTTACCCACTGGCATCCAGTAGCAAATACCATACGCGATATGTCTTTCATTCACTTGAAACTCAACAACGTTAACAAAATTATCTACCTGCATACAAAATATTCACATTCATTTGTTACTGAGAATTAATAATATTAAGGCGGCTAATTAATTAATTAGTTAAAAATAATAATAATAGTAAAAATAGGTGATTAAGCAGTAGAATAGAAGGGGTAGAGGATACTACTAAACCTTTGTATGCATACATTGAAATAATCACAGGAGTATTGGAAAGTTAGGAGGGCAAGTTTTAAATTGATGTGCAGTGCAAAATTGACAATTAATGGTGAGTGAGATCAGAAATACAAATAGTCAGATCAACATTGTGGATAAAGACTGAATGGTGCTTGCTCCATGTGTGTCTTAGATTTGTACGTGTTGTTGGTGAAATATGCCTATTTCTTCTCTCAATAACACGGTTTACCGAGAAGGTATTACTCCAAGATGACTGTCTGTTCCACATTAGACGTTGCAATTGGATTGTCATGATACTGAAAAGTGGCTGGTACAGGTAGTTGAATCCCTTTGTGATCAGATAGTAAGGCACACTGTCAGTTTATTGCCAAGATCAAAAGTAATTTGAACTCAACAGATAGATATGTCATCCATTGATGCTTCCTCCTTATTCATCGCTAACGTGTCTCTGGTGGACACCTTCGACTATATCTGAGAACAGATTATAGAAAGAACATTGTGGACTTATATTCCTATTATCAATGTGAAGCAACTGTTGCTTAAATGTACAGTTACTGTCCAACACTTCTCTAATAATGAAATATACAGACAGGTTGATTGAGTAGCCTTGTGAACCCCGTCAGTTCAAATGCTGAGTGACAATTTTCTAGCAAAACTAGAGAATTTTTTGATGTAACGATGAAATAACTGAAATGGAACTGCACTGTTGTTCCGTAGATAGCGTTTTCGTTATGTACGATGAAGGTCTATGTAGTGATATGCTTTTTGATCTCATCGGTGATTTTCATCCACGTGTTGATTTCACCTGTGAGAGAAGAACACAATGAGTCACACTAACGAGAAGAGGGGAAGGGTACATTAAACGAACTATATTTATAATGTTAAGGACTCAATCACAGTACATACACTAACTTGGCTACGGGCTTTTGAAATTCAAACGTAGTTTGATTAGGACTCCTTATGTGGAACGATGTCGATTCGCTCGAAACACTGTTTAGAGTCAGAACCTCGGGTCGTTCGGGATATATTAGGCGGAAACGTCAACCTAGAGAAAAGATTCGAAAAGATAACATAAGATATGATGGTCACAGGTTACAATATTGCATTAAGAGTAAGCATCGATTAGCCAGTGATTTATTATCATGATTCACAAGAAACAAATGAATGTACACAGCTCAGCGAGTGTTGCAAAGAAATGCAAAAGTTATAAGGACTTAGAAGAAAGAAAGAGTAAATTGTCAAGTGATAATGGAGAAACCTCTGTAGCTAAAGTGACTAATATTCAATTAATTCTGTTCCTTCAACCGTTTGAATTTTAAGCAAACCTATTGGCGTCCTTCTACACAAAATCTTCTGTGTAGGTTATACTATGAAATCGACTCAATTGAATTCCCCATTATATCGGTCAACGTGGGCGTGTATTTCGCCCACGAATACCAGAGCACAAGTTGGTTGCAGAAAGACACGATTCCTATTCTTTCGTACAATACATCTAGATAATTATGGACACCGACTGGATTGGAATAATGAAGAACTTGTTAACAAACAGAAACACCCAAAATGCTGTCAGAAAATTATGAGAAGACTGCTAATAAAGTGAATCAGCAAGCAGTTAAAAACACACGAGAGTATACCAAATTGAAACTATCAAAAGCACTGGACGAAGTGAGAAAAAATTTCGAATTCCAAGTCAATACAAATGATCAACAGAGACGAAAAGTGACAATCAGTCACAACAATGGTTACCAGAAGATACGATTACATCATACACGGGGGATTCAAAGACTAAAATCTACTCTGAAGAAGATGCTGCCGACAAGCATAATGAAAGCGTCACAAGTAAACACATCAACTCAGAGAACATAACTAATTCAAATTTAGAAGTTATTAGAAATCACCTATGCGGTTACAACCATAAAAATGTAGTCAGTGAATAATATAGATTTGTATTCATATCTACGGTTCACTATTTCAACATTCCACATTTTCTGTCTATCACTGTGTACAATCCGTAAATTGTGCGTTTATCTTCACAAAGTCTACTAATAAAAACAAAAAGAAATGAAGGTCAGCATAATTACTCACAGAGTAATTAGTACACAGAAATGAATAGTCTGAAGGCAGAAAGGCTTTCACTACACTTTCATAATAATAATCATAATTATTATGCTTATTGATCATCCTAAGGAATGTCGGTCTGATTATAACGACCAGCATAAATACTACTACTACTACTACTATTACTACTACTAAAACTAATACGACAATATTTGTGCTTCAAAGCGTAAAAGCGAAAAATATGTTGTAGGCAGAAGAAGGAAGAGTAGCTTGTGTAACTCAAGTTACTCAGATCTTATGAAATACCTAGAGAAAACCTTATCACCTGAACTAATGCACATCAGCAAAATATCTGTTGGGTTGTTATACGTTTGTACTACTGTTGTAAATGAGTATTTCCCACAGATCCTGTTCTATTCATGTAAATCCTTCTAGTAGTGAAGCGATGGTGAAGAAACTGTGAAGTTGTGACATCATTTTGAGATACTGATCTTATCAATGCCTATTTCGAAATCTTCTCACATATTGATTCATATAAACATATATATATATGCGTGTTCTATTTGGTTGTATGGGAAATGCCTTATGCAGCTCCCAAACGTGTATGCATACCAGTGAGGAAGTGAGGAAGGTGTATACTAGGATTGGTCATACATATTTCATTTATTCCATGAATCATCCCCATACAGACACTAACGAATAGAAGACAGTTAGTTGAGTGAAGAGGCTGTCTTCGGTGAATTCATTCATTAGGCTGTACAATCGCATTTATTTACAATTATTTGTGTGTGTACACGGGGTTTGTCAAGTTTGGACAATTCATTCTGTTAAACAAAAATGATCTAACATAGAAACCAGGTAAATTAGACGTCAACTAAAGCAAGATTGAGTTAGTGAGTTAGATGACCTAATTGAAATGGGATTATTCTCTACCCCACATATGTTTAGTCTGTACCTCTAATTACCTCTGTTCCTTTCTTGACTTAAGTTGTAACATTTTAGTCAATTATATTAGGTCATCTAACTCACTAACTCAATCTTACTTTAGTTGACGTCTAATTTACCTGGTTTCTATATTAGATCATTTTTGTTTAACAGAATGAATTGTCCAAACTTGACAAACCCCGTGTACACACACAAATAATTGTAAGTGAATGCGATTGTACAGCCTAATGAATGAATTCATCGAAGACAGCCTCTTCACTCAACTAACTGTCTTCTATTCGTTAGTGTCTGGATGGGGATGATTCATGGAATAAATGAAATTTGAGTCACGGAATGGTTTATGTCTGACCAATCCTAGTATACACCTACTTCCTCACTGGTATGCATACACGTTTAGGAACTGCACAAAGCATTTCCCATAAAACCAAATAGAACACGCATATATATACATTTATATGTATCAATATGTGAGGAGATTTCGAAATAGGCATTGAGAAGACCAGTATCACAAAATGATGTTACAATTACGCAGTTTCTTCACAATCGCTTTACTACTAGAAGGATTTACATGAATAGAATAGGATCTGTGGGAAATACTCATTTACAACAGTGGTACAAACGTATAACAACCCAACAGATATTTTGCTGATATGCATTAGTTCAGGTGATAAGGTTCTGTGTAGGTATTTCATAAGATCTGAGTAACTTGAGTTACACAAGCTACCCTTCTTTCTTCTGCCTACAACATATTTTTCGCTTTTACGCTTTGAAGCACAAATATTGTAGTATTAGTTTTAGTAGTAGTAATAGTAGTAGTAGTATTTGTGCTGGTCGTTGTAATCAGACCGACATTCCTTAAGATGATCAATAAGAATAATAATGATAATTGTTATTATTATGATGGTGTAGTGAAAGCCTTTTCTGCCTTCAGACTATTCATTTCTGTGTACTAATTACTCTGTGAGTATTATGTTGACCTTCATTTTTTGTTTTTATTAGTAGACTTTGTGAAGATAAACGCACAATTTACGGATTGTACACA